ATGCAGGAGGCAGCCAAATCAGTGATTCTCTCTCATCATTGATGTTTCTCTCTCTCTTCCTCTCTCTGAAATCAATAAAAATATATTTTAAAAAAATAAATAAAAGCTTAAAATGCAAAGCTTAAATGATAGTTACATACTATAAAAATCAAAGAAGTCCTATTAAAATCATGATTCAGAAAACTTAAGGCAAATAAAATTCTACAAAGTATAACAGTAAAACAAATTTCCACCTTTACTTCCCTGAACAACCAAGAGCTTCCTTTATTTCTAAGGAACCATCTTTACTATCTTCAGCTGAAAAAATCAGAGATATAGTCTGAACTTTGGGAAATCTAGGCAACAGTTTTTTCTCATAGACAACTTCTATAAATTCAAGAATAGAACAAATACTGATAGAAAATTTACCAATATAGCAATAGAAAATATGTTGCCATCCTACCAGATACTTCAACATCTCAACTTTTGAATATTTCAAGAATACTATTGCACAATATAAAATCAACAGAAGTCCTTCTCCCCAACTTTTTTCATTGGAGTATGGCATATTTGTAATTAAAATATATTTCTTGGTGAAGTTAAAAAGAGAATGAAAAGAATGTATCAGAGTAGAAAACAAAGTAATGCTAAAACTACTAGAATTACCCTGTTGCTTGATGTTTATAATTTTTTTCAATTATTTCATTAGTACCTTATAAAGGATGTTTTTAAATGTTTATTTTGGAAACATGCTTACCACACTGGAACTTTTGTTAAGAAAACTTAGATGATGTCAGTTCAAAAGACTTTTTCTCCAAAGTAACTTATTTTTATGCATTATAAGACAGAAAAAATCTAGTTTGTCATAAAATGTCCAAAAATTCAATAAGTAGTTCTCTCCTGAGGTGGGGAGGCGGGAGGAGGAAGTAGTGAATTTCTCCCTAAACTGTAAAACACATGCTTGTACCCTTACAAAAACATTTTTAAAAATACATCAATCTCCCTCAGTGGATAGTGTCAGCATTCGGACTGAAAGGTCCCTGGTTAAATTCCGGTCAAGGGTACATACTTCAGATGCAGGCTGGGTCCCTGGCCCCCATTGGAGAGCGTGTGGGAGGCAACCAATCCATATGTCCCGCGCACATTAATGTTTCTCTTTCTCTCCCCTTCCCTTCTACTCTCTAAAAAAAAAAAAAAAAAAAAAAAAAAAAAATCCACCAGGTAAAGATTAAGGGGGAAAAAAAGTACATGAACCAAAAAACATATATAAATAAAGAACCAAATTTTAATGAGTTTTTCTATTATCAACTAGTATTCCAAAACTATAAAAACAGCTATTAACAGTTTATATAAACTGTATAAAATACTAAAATTGTACACATTTGTCTAGATAACAAAAAAGTAATGAACATCACGATTTGACTTAGTGTGTACTTTGCACTTGATCACAGAATTTTAAGATTCGTTTCATTTTAGTGGTTTTGTACCATCATCAGACCTCAAGTAATATTGTCCACACTTCTTAACTCACTAGTTTTTACCAGAGATGAAGTGGTTCTATAAAGAAAGTAGCAGCTCTATGAAGATTGCTTATTTAAAAATAAGCCTTCTTTTTCTATTTGCTTATCAAATGCTGAAGTTTCTCATATTCAAATGTCATGTTTATAAAGAACTGATACATATGTTTTTAAAATATTAGTTTTAACATTAGCTGTTTCTAATGTCAATAGTTAGCATTACCTGATAAAATTCTATAATGATCCTATATAAATCTATATAATAATGTTACATAAGAGTAATATGCAAATTGACCGTCACTCCAACACACAATATGGCAGCTCCCATGTGGACACAAGATGGCCATCAGTGGAGGGAAGTTGTGGGCGATCAAGCCTGTGGGGGAGGGCAGTTGGGGGTTACCAGGCCTGCAGGAGAGGGCAGTTGGGAGCAACCAGATTGACAGAGGAGGGGAGTTAAGGGTGACCAGGCCAGGTAGGGATGTCAGTTAGGGGCCATCAGGCCAGCAGGGGAGCAGTTAGGCATCAATCAGGCTGGCATGGGAGTGGTAGGGGGTGATCAGGCTGGCAGGCAGAAGTAGTTAGGGGCAATCAGGCAGGCAGGCTGGTGAGCGGTTGGGAGCCAGCAGTCCTGGATTGTGAGAAGTATGTCTGACTGCCCAGTGGAATCGGGCCTAAATGAGCAGTTGGATATCCCTCGAGGGATGATTGGAGAGAGTTTAGACTGGGCTGAAGGACACGGACATGGACACACACACACACACACACATACACACACATGAATGAGTTTCGTGCACCAGACCTCTAGTCTATATACAAAAGAGGTGATATGAAAATTGACCATCACTCCAACACACAAGATAGCCACCCTCATGTGGATACAAGATAGCTGGCAGGAGAGGGCAGTTAGGAGTGACCAGGCTGGCAAGGGAGAAAAGTTAGGGGTGACCGGGCCTGCAGGGAAGGGCAGTTGGGGGTGACCAAGCCAGCAGGGGAGGGCAGTAAGTGTTTACCAGGCCAGTAGGAGTGGGAAGTTAGGGTGACTAGGCCAGCAGGGGAGGACAGTTGGAGGTGACCAGGCTGACAAGAGAAGGCAGTTAGGGGTGACTGGGCCAGCAGGGGAGGGCAGTTAAGGGCAATAAGGCCTGCAGAGGACAGTTAGGGGTGACCAGGCCAGCAGGGGAGGAAACTTAGGGGTAATTGGGCAGGCAAGGGAGCAGTTAGGCATTGATGAGGCTGGCAGAGGAGTCTAGGGAGTGATAAGGCTGGCAGGCAGAAGCGGTTAGGGGCAATCAGGCAGGCAAGCAGTTGGGAGCCAGCAGTCCTGGATTGTTAGAGACCTGATCCTACCAGACATCCCTCGAGGGGTCCCAGATTGGAGAGGGTGCAGGCTGGGCTGAAGGACACACACTACCCCCCCTAACCTCCCCCCCCCCCCCCCCCGCATGAATTTCGTGTACTAGGTCTCTAGTAAAAGCATAATATGCAAATCGACTGAAAGGCTGAACAGCAGAACAACCACGCTATGACATCCACTGGCGCCAGGCCAGTCAAGGCAGGTGCAATGTGATTGGCCGGGGCCTTGCAATCACCCCATGATTGCCCCACAAAGAGAGAGCTCAGGCCACCAGCCCGAGGGGGGATGAATCAGGGGGCTCCCCAATTGCCCCAAAGAGGGAGGCACACGCTATCTGGCAGCAGCAGGTGGGTGGGGCCTCCCCCTGAGAAGTGGGAGCAGGCTGGGCTCAGGGACACCCCCCCCTCAACCAGTTCATGAATTTCAGGCACCAGGCCTCTAGTCTTTTAATAGGCAGCCATTATTTTAAGTGCAGAAAATGTGTATTCTACTACTGTAGCTCTTTACTAAGTTTTGGAATCCCAGAGAATTAAGAGACTAATATACTCAGCAAACTACAAATGCTAAATCTTTTTTCAGGGATCACCTTGCTAACATAATCATCTATTTCTCAAAGAGAAAAGGCCATTCAAATTTTCAAAAAGTGTCAAATCAAATGTATATATATCACAAATACAGACTTAAACTTTAATGGATGACTAGTTTTAAAACAACCTCTCCAATGGATGCTTAACCATTTCACTGTTAAAGAGAGCAGTATTTAACATACAATCCATACTTTGAATTTGACTCATTACATACTATATCCTATCGCAACTTAAAATTTACCAAGACCTATACTAAAGTTTTGTTTGAGGCAAAATATTTATTTTGTGTTACGATTATCTGGCTGAACCAATCAAAGGAAACTAGTTTCTCTTAGCTAATCTGGGCAGTGAACTTGAGAAAAGAAAGCAACATAAATGAATATGATACATTCCTAATTTATGCAACCCCATAGAAAACCCCCAGCCATCGGTGACATTCCTAACACAAAAAAGGACATAAATTATATCACAATTATTTCTGATAACTTTTAAATCATGTTTCTCCCCCCACCCCCTTATTTTAAATACTACAGCAAATCTGGTGTGGAAAATGAGCAAGTAATTTTTCCTTGGGATATCAGGAGGGATCCTACCTCCACAGTTGTAACTACTATCCAAGGATACAGCTCTACCCCAGGGTGGGAATGTGCAGAAACTCAGTAACTGCTCCAAAGGTAAACAGAACCTTGTTTTTTCTTTTCTTTTTTTTTCTTTTTTTCTGTCGCGGTACAAAGAACTCAACATAATCCCCTAAAAGGTACACTTGTTTTAAAAAGGTCAAAGGAGGGCCAATAACTCCATTAGAAAGGTGAGAATCTCTTTCCTCTTTTACTTGCCCTGGCCTAACATTTCACCTCTTTCCTGCAGCAAAATGCCATAATAGGGAAGGTCACAGGAACAGGATGAAAAAGTCCTGGCCATAACCCTCCAGGCCCCCAAATCCAAGGAAGTCTTAATGTTTTCATCTTCTTAATCCCACCCAGAGCAAGATTCATGATTAACCCCACCCCTGACCACAGTCCCCATTTCAGTCCCTATCTTCCCCAACTTGTCCTCAAATCAGCTTTTCCAAGGACTTGCCAGGTAAGTGAGCTAAGCAATAAAACAAAGACAGACTTTGGAGCCGAAGGTAGGTCAGCCTTGCAGGGTACTTAAGGGGAGAGCAGAAAATACTTGAAAAGAACTAAGAAAGGTCCAAGGACTCGTGGACGGACTGTGCCTTGGAAGTCCAGGCCGGCAGATAAAACCAGAAAGGCACGGAGAACGAAGAAAACTAGCAGGAGAGACATTTTGGGAGCAGAACAGAAGCGCCCCCTCTGGTGTTGAAGGATCAGCAGTCAAATCCGAGAAGCGCCGCGTCGCGTCTAGAATACTAGGGCGGACTCTGCACCCGCCCCGGGAGACCTCCGCAATCTCACACAGAGTCGAAGGTTCCCCAGCATTGGCCCCTTCCCATGCCCTGGCCCAAGCGGATAGGGTGCAAACTGGAAAACGAGGGCCCAGCTCTCCTGTCTCCCGCTGCCCGCAATCCCCCTCCCCCAGCACGGACACCGCGCCTACCTGTAGCACCAGGGGCTCGGGGTTGAAGGCCAGGGTCAGCAGCAACTGCATGCGCTCCGAGTCCTTGAGGTTGCGGAGTAGGAAGCTGCCCGAGTCTTTGGTCTCCGCATAGCGGCGCACCAGGCGGTCGAGCAGGCGCTGTGAGGGGCAGTGCACCAGGTCAGACCAACCCTCCACAGCCTCGGGCGTCAGCAGCCGCACGTCGCCGTTCAGGCGCGCGAACTCAGTGCGCGGCATGGCCTGCAGCAGGTCGCAGCGAGGCCGGCCGGTGGCCCGCTTGCAGATGCTCTGGTCGAGCTGCGCCAGCTCGCGCTGCGAGCCCAGGCGCTTGAGCACCACTCGGCGGCGGCCACCCTCGCGGGGCTCGCCATACTGCGCGAAGTACACGTTCTTCACGTTGAGGAAGTCCAGCAGGCGCAAGCGGCCCCACGCCTCGAACACTACTTGCCCGTTGAGGAAGCGGCGGCACCAGCTCGTGCCGAAGCACGCCGGGCACTTATTGAGCTGCAGGAAGCGCCGGTCGGTCAGTTCATTGCGCTGCCAGGAGGCGAGCAGCGACGGCGAGTGCAGCACCATCAGCACCAATAAGCTGCCCAGAGCCGCCAGCTTCAGCGAGCGGGACAGGCGACCTAGCTTCGGGGGCACCAGGCGCCACATCCCGCCCGCCGCCCGTCCGCACAGGAGGGCGAGGGCACCCCCTGGGCGCCCCCGCCGCGCCGAAACCCCGAATGGGAGGAACAGCGAGGGAGCGGGCCGGGGTGGGAGCGAGGTGTGTGAGCTGGAGCGGGAGCGGGAGCGGGAAAGGGCCAGCTCTAGCAGGCTCCTACTTCCAGTTCCTAACCTCCTCAACTCTAGCTCCTAACACCGAGCTCCGGCCCCGGTTCCCGGGGCGCCTCTTTTCTGCCAGCCGAGTTATGGAGGGGCGGAAAGGGGGTGGGGGTGACGCGCGGGCCCGAATGCCACGCGCCCGCCCGCGCACGCGCACAGCACTCTCAGGGCGTGAGAGCTGCGGCAGAGGCCGGGTTTTGGGGAGATCAAAGGAGGGACTCACGGAAGAAGAAGAAAAGCTAGAGTGTCTCACTCCGCGAGCAGCAACAGTGTAGGAAGATGGGATTGAAGGAGGCGCCCGCCGCTGGCCCGGGCTCCTAGCTGGCTCTCCGGAGACTCTGGGAGTCGGGGGCGGGGCACCCGGAAAGCGTAAGCACAGCTCTTGGGTTGGCAGCGGGGCGTCTCCGTGGGGGCGGAGTCCGAGCCCGAGCTGTGAACACGCAGAATTGAAAGCCTTAAGATACCGTGTTAAAGGGACAGTAAGATAATAGCTTAATAAAAAAACGAAAGAATTTTTTTTTTAAAAAATAAAGGGACAGTAAAAGGAACAGGGAACCCTCCTGGCCTGATGTCCACATGACTCCTACCCTATACGTTCTGGAGAAGCAAAGATGAGCTGTTGGCATATTTGCTTTGCTCCCCACCTGCTTTCCCAGACTGGCCCAGAAGCCTTTTCCTATTGGGCACAGAGACCGCCCAGGAGCCGGTGGGAGGGCACCCCACGTGGTCCCCTGCAAGCAGGGACTTGCTGTGGCGGTAACCATGGGAACGGGGGACGGGACAGCCTGGTGCTCTGCGCAGGCGGGTTGGCTCTGGTTCATGGCAGCACTGCAAAAATAACTCGGGAGTGAATTACAGCGCCTTGTTTTGGTATAAATTTTAGAAGACCAGGATTCTAGCAGTAGCTGCGAATAATAATGATTCTCAATTTTAGCGTTAGAATGAGGAGTTGTTAGTCTGAATGATAGGTGGTTCCTGATACAGTATTAAATACCTAGGTCTTAACTGAGTTAATTTTAGAGATGGAACAATGATTTTTAGGAGACCTCAGTAATTGTCATGTATAGACCATCTGTACAGGGGCCTAATGAGAAGCACTGTCAAATTCACTTTTCTCTATAGCTGTTGTAAATGAGCCATCGTCATGAGACGTACTGTTGAAGTTAATATTTTGTCCTTCATGATATAAGGACTCAAACTTAGGGAAAAAAGCTTTGGACAATTAAATATATTCAATATAGAAGTGATTTTTTAAAATGCTATTACATTAAATACAGACAAATTGGGAGATTTAGTCTTCAAGACTGCTACAAAATGATTTAAAGAAATTTTGCTGCTACGTGAAGAAATTTTACTTCCACCTTTGGCAGTAATTTGGTTTAACTTGCCTTCAAGCATCCCAAAACTCCATACAAAGTAAAGTTCTGAGCAGAATCTCAAATGAGAATTTTTATAAGAATAGAGATTAATATGATTGGCCTGGAAATGTCAGAGCTGCTGCTGCTGAATGGTTGGCAAGTTTATTACTAAATGGCAGACTTCTTTAGCATCTTTTGTACCTGCACGGTTTCCCTGAATTGATACTAGCACATGTGTCAAACACAAGGCCGGCGGGCCAAATCCGTCCCGCCAGGCCTTGCAATGTGGCCCGCACCGCGCTGTCATCACTGCACTCCGCTGCATTTCCATCACAATGACAGTTTATGACTGTTCAGTAAACCATTCGGCCCGCGATTTAGGCTGGATTTTAGATTTTGGCCCCTTCTCTGATTGAGTTCGACACCCCTAATTGATAGGATGGCTTTGTGTGTTTGGTGTCCTATATGTCCCAGTGGGTCAGCCTCCCCAGTTACCTGAGGTAGATACTCTTGGTGCTCCCCTTTGTGGAGTGCATGTACAACCTTGTTGTAGTTAAGTCTTGATTGTTGTTGGTATCACTGGGAGGAATTGACCTCCAGGCCAATTGGCTGTGAGTATCAGCTGTGTCTACTCCAATACCTTCTGTATCAGAGAAAGTCTTATAGGATCAAACTTGGAAAATTGCAAAAGCCTCTGTGCTCAGCATGGATGGGGCGGAGTCTCAAGGCTAAGCCAATAGTCTTGGCTTCCCGTCAGCCCTACCCTTGTGTGCTAGCCTCAGACCTCTGCATTCCACGGATCCCCTAGGTTTCCGCCTGACAGTCCAGATTCCCCTTGCAAGAGCTTGGGTGCCCCAGGAACTCACCTGAAATTGGGTCGGGTCTCTAGTCTGGAGCTTCCAACTCCTTCTGCTATGGAGCAGCTGTGGCAAAATCTGTGGTCAGACCTCTCTGCACGCACTCACTCTCATGCTCTGGCTCCAGCTCCCTGGTCTCTCAGTCTGGTCAGAACTTTCTGCGTGTTCTCACTCCCGAGCTGCTGCTCCTGGCTCTCCCAAGTCTCCCAGTCTCTGAGTCTCTGGGTGTCTTCTTTACAATCCAGATTCCACCCCTATGAGCCTGAGTCCATCGGGTTTCGGCCAGGTTTGGGGGTTAGTGCAGTCGGAACTGGGGTTCAGTAGAGCCTGGGGTTTCCTTTCCCCTCCCATCAGCCAGGCGCTCGGCTGCCCTTCCTCTCTGTGCGCACGTCTCCCTACTTCAGCGCTTTGCAGTTCCCCTGATCCGTGAGCCTCTCTCCTTCTTTCTACTTGTAGATTTCCCACTCAGCCAACTTTCAGTGGTTTTGGATGAAGTCCGTTCTGTCTTTTAGTTGTTTTGAAATTGTTGTGTGAGGCGGCAGCTTAGGTGCTTACCTAGGCCGCCATCTTGGTATCTCCCCTGAATACTTACTTATTTATTTTTCATCATATTTATTTTGAGATTCATCCATGTGTTGCATTTATCAGTCCATTGCTATTAATTGTTGAGCAGTATTCTATGCCACAACTTATCCTGTCTCCTATTCATAGATTTTAAAAAATATATATTTTATTGATTTTTTACAGAAAGGAAGGGAGACAGATAGAGAGGTATAAACATCAATGAGAGAGAAACATCGACCAGCTGCCTCTTGAACACCCCCTACTGGGGATGTGCCCACAACCAATGTACATGCCCTTGACCTGAATCGAACCTGGGCCCCTTCAGTCCGCAGACTGACGCTCTACCACTGAGCCAAACCGATTTCAGCAGATTTTGTTTTTTATGATTACTATGTTCAGCTATTATGAGCACTCACTTATAAGTGTTTGTATGGACATAAGCTTTTATTTCTTTAGGGTTACTGCCTACGAGTGAAATTGCTGCTAAGATAAGCGTATGTTTAATTTTTAAGAAATATTGAAATCGTTTTCTGAGCAATTGTAGCATTTATATTCCCAACAGCAGTGTATGAGGATTACAGTGGCTCTAAAACCTTGCCAATACTTCGTATGGTCAGTCATTTTTAGCCATTGTAGTAGGTATGTAGTAGTATCCTGCTGTTTTATTTATTTTTATTTTTTGCATGGTTGAAATAATTTATTAACTTAGTTTGCTATACACTTTAAAAATCACATATTATATATACAGTGTAGTAAGATGTGTTATTTTCCCCATTCATATTTATGAAGCAGTTTTATTTATGCTTTTAACACTTTTTATACCTGTGTCAAAATCATTAAGAGTTTATCATTAACCTTTCACAGAACATACAAACTTTGAAAAAGTGCTGTGAAACAAATATTTGAGCAAAAACAATTTGTGTATGATGCTGGGAACTTTTTTCTTTGTCACAAAAGCCTGATTGTATAATATTAGGTTGCATGAATTAAAAAAAAAATGTGGAAGTGTGGATTTGTCATCTGCACAATATATTGTAGTAACCACTTCTTTATTGCTCTTCAAGTGGTTTTTTTTTAAAAAGGGCTTGTTTCAAAAGACAATACTTGCAAATGCCCACGACTAACGATTGAATCTGTGTGGAATGTGTTTGCCTCCACTTTTTGCTGAGTTTGACAAGACACCTCCATGAAAATCCAAAACTTAATTAATTGAGGTTGTTTTAGGCTAATGAGTTTCCTGAAAGAGCGATTTGCTGTTCACAGGGCAGTAGTTGAGAGCATGAGCTATAATGTAGAATTCATAAGTACTTGAATATAAGAAAAATACATCTTACCTGAGGGGTAATTTTGGAGCAAAATCTTTTTTTAATTTATGTTTTTATTTATTGATTAAGGTGTTATATATGTGTTCTTATCCCTCTGTTTCCCCCCGTTCCCCACTCCTGCTGTCACCCCCCTGGTGTCTGTGTCTATTGGTTAGACTTATATGTATGCATATAAGTTCTTTGGTTGATATGACCCTCTTACCCCCACCCTCCCCAATTTTCCCTCTGAGATTTAATGGTCTGATCGATGCTTCTGTGTGTCTGGATCTGTTTTTGTTCATCAATATATGTTGTTCATTATATTCCACAAATGAGTAAGATAATATAATATTTATCTTTCTCTGACTGGCTTATTTTGCTTAGCATAATGCTCTCCAGTTCTATCCATACTGTTGTAAATGGTAACAATTCCTTCTTTTTGTATTGCAGCATAGTACTCCATTGTGTAAATATACCTCAGTTTTCTAATCCACTCATCTGCTGATGGGCACTTAGGCTGTTTCCAAATCTTAGCTATGGCAAATTGTGCTGCTATGAACATAGGGGTGAATATATCCTTTCTGATTGGTGTTTTTAGTTTCTTGGGATATATTCCTAGAAGTTGGTCAAAAGGGAGATCCATTTTTAGTTTTCAGAGAAAACTCCATACTCTTCTCCACAGTGGCTGCATCAGTCTGCACTCCCACCAGCAGTGCAAGATGGTTCATTTTTTCTTTGCATCCTTGCCAGCACTTGTCATTTGTTGATGATAGCCATTCTGACAGGTGTGAGATGGTACCTTATTGTCGTTTTTATTTGCATCTCATGGATGATTAATGATTTTAAGCATGTTTTCACATGTCTCTTGGCCTTCTTTATGTCCTCTTTCAAAAAGTAACTATTTAGGCCCGTTTCCCATTTTTTGAATGGGTTGTTTATCTTTCTTTTGTTACCTTGTATGAGTTCCCTGTAAATATTGAAGATTAAACGCTTATTGGTGATAACGTTTGTGAATATGTTCTCCCATGCAGTGGACTTTCATGTTGTTTTGTTGATGGTTTCTATTGTTGTTCAGAAGCATTTTATTTTATTTTATTTTTTAAATAATATTTTATTGATTTTTTTACAGAGAGAAATTGAGAAGGATAGAGAGTTAAAAACATTGATGAGAGAGGAACATTGATCATCTGCCTCCTGCACACCTTCCACTGGAGATGTACACAACCAAGGTACATGCCCTTGACTGGAATCGAACCTGGGACCCTTCAGTCCTCAGGCTGAT